CCAACGGAGCTCCGTGTTGCTTCCAGCGCCCTCCCCCGCGCTCCCTGCGGCCATGGCCGATGCTCCTAGGAAGAGAGGTCATCTGGCTACCGCGAGAGCGACCCAACTCGTCGACATCGTCCGATGATGGTGCCGCAAAGACAGCCTTCGGAGGCTATCGTGGCGTCGAGCCGGCAGTAGCCGTGACATGTGGTTCCACCACCCCTCGCAGGCTTTGCCTCTGACCGCCACCGTTCCCAGGCTGCCTAATGGGATGGAAAGGAAGGCTCGGCGAGCGTATAGAAGCGTGCTCGACCTCGTCGTGGCAACCTGTATGGCAGCGCTGGTAGGCGCGATGAGCGTCGTGCCACCTGACCCGAGACGGGTCGCAGGCGTCGCACCGAGCGCGTCGAGACCGTGTCCTGATGTGATCTGCACGGGTGAGTCACGTCGGCGTCAAAGGAGCGACGTGCGACCTGTCAGAGCTTGATCTCCGATCTCAGCGGCGTCGAGTCTCGTCTCCGGCGCGCAACAAATGTACCTCCCCAGGACGCGCAGAGGCAGCTGCGAGTGCGACCCCGCTGAGTGGACGGCGTCACACCGCGCCACCTGCCGAGTGCCCCCGTCCACTCGGCGGGGTCACAGCTGCCTCTGGAAGGCACCGAGAGGTACCAAATGGCGCAAATGACCAAAATCAAGATTGTGTGACGCCGTCTACTCGGCGGGGTCGCAGCTGCCTCTGGAAGGCTGCACCGAGAGGTACGTTTTTCGCGCAATGGTCAAATCAAGGTTTTGTAACGCGAGCTGTGCCACAGTGAAATGGCACTAGCCTGTCGCAAGGCGTGATAGCATGGCCGCAAGTACGCCGAATTCCCATGAAAACAAGTAAAAAATCGCGCCAAAAAGAAAAAATGGCAAAAAAATCGGCGCCTGCGGCGGGCTGGGGGACCCCATCTCCCCCCCGCATGGGTACCCCCTAGGGCCCTCGCCTCCCCCCAGAGCCTCCCACCCCTCCCTTGGGTTGTCTGTTTTCTCGCTTTCTTTCTTTTTAACCCTCCCTTGGGTTGTCTGTTTTCTTTCTTTCTTTCTGACACCCAAGTGTTGAGCGCCGGTGACTGTGGGAATGGGGGAAGCAGAGTTCTTTGATCAGTCGAGGGAGTGTGATCTCCCTCATCCTCAACGGGCGTCCAATCTCAATCGGATTTACTACGGCGGTGGTCCAATGGTAATCCGCATATTGGACGTCCCCGTCCATTGTTCTCGCCGTTCTTCGGCGGGGCCGCGTCAGGGCGGGGGCGCAGGCGTGTGCCCCGCCCGGGGCGCGCAGGCGCCAGTGCGGCGCGGAGGTTCTCCCACCCTCCATCCCCATCGCGCTCTATAAACTCTCACAAGCCTGTCTAGAGGTAGTGGGGGTTGCGTCGTGTGCCAAGCATGGCCACCACAGTCAGGCATGCTGATACTCTCGCAGTCTCCCCGCGTGTGTGCTTGCCCCGCTCAGGCTTCAACAACAAAATATCTAACATGCTTGGTTGTCCCAACTTTGTTGCCACATCCCGCAGTTACCGCGCTCTCCCACATGACAAGCGATCCCACGAGCCACGACAGCGAGTGGGTGGGGACTACATGATCCGTCCGTCGTGAATGAAGGGAGGGTGGAGGGCCCGTCCGCGGAGTAGGCGGCGCGGGCACCCGCCACTGGTCCGAGCGTAAGATGTCAGGTAAGAAGCCGTTTTTGCTTGTTCGTGACCCAGTTGGCCCGCTAGACTGCAGGAAAGAAATTTCTTCTCTTTAATCGTGTCGTGCGACCGCCTTTTGTTGTAAGATTCTTCTCTTTCCTCCGACATTGCATCGCGGCGGCCCACGGCGTGATAGAACCACGAGCACCTGCTTGGGAAAGCGCGCAGAGCGAGAGCGATTGTGTGCCCCACCCCTACCAACCCCCTCAGCCGTCACCGATGAGAGCTCTGCTCGTTTCGGCCCTTGCCGTCGGCGCCAGAGCCCACGGGCACATGACGATGCCGGCGCCTCGGCCGACTGCGTGGGTGAGCGAGTTTGTCGGCGTGCACCCGCAGCTGTACAGCACAAACACGACCCACATCTACCGGCAGCCCACGCACACCGTGCAAAACGGCCCATCCTTCCACTACAACGAGGCTTCGTTCCGGTGCCACGATTTTGCCGCCGTGAGTCCCTCGACGACCATCACGGCAGGCGGCGGACTCGAGGTGGAGTGGAAGCTCGAGGCGCGGCATCCGGGAGATTGCGCGCTGTACATCTCCTACGACGCCGACAAGGACCGACCCGTCACCTGGATCAAGCTCTACGACTTTGTGGGTTGTATGGACCAGGCCAGCCTGGCTGACTACCTCCAAGACGACAGCTGGACTGACCCGCTCGAGGTGAATCGGTACACGATCGCCCTCCCGAGCTGGCTGCCTTCCAGCGACCACGCCGTTCTACGCTGGGAGTGGATCGCGGTCCAGGCTCTCGCCAACATCGAGCTCTACGTCACGTGCGCCGACGTGCGAGTCGTGGGAACTGACGAGCCGGTCGAGGCGTTTCTCGACAAGGTCAGCCCAAAGGTGCAGGTCGTC